TTTGTGTTGTTGAAAAAAGGTGTTTGCAATGAATAAGTCGTTGGTCTTGCAAAATTCTACCATACGAGTTCCAGCATTATTCCTGTCACCAAGGCCAAATTTTCCAACTACCAGTGATTCTTCTTGTCTTAGTGTCATGCTTATCTTAGTTATCTAGTGCTGCTATAATAGAAATACCACAAGTGGGTGACTTTAACAAACAAATGTATTTTCTCACAGTTTAGGAGGCTAGAAGTGCAAATTCAAGGTGCTGGCTCTAGGTAATGGCTTTCGCTGTTAACTCTGGGGGAAGTCCTTGTCTCTTTTCAGCTTCTGTTTATTGGTTCCTTGGAAATCTCATGTAGCGTGTTATCTGTCTTCCCCCATCTGTACTTGCTTGCTGCTTGCTTAAAAAGAGATTGACTTAAAACACACCCTGCACTAATACTGCCTTGTTAACATAACAAAATCTTATTCTCAAATGTGATTTAAACAACTGGTATTATGGGATTTACAGCACATATTCAATCCATAACAATACTTCTCTAATCAGCCTCACTCTTTTCATTCTGGCAATACTGAAGTACTTGCACTTGCCTAACATACTGGGCTCCTCGTGGTTCTGTATTTACTACTATCTTTTCTGAGAGTTCCCAGCCTCTGCTTATTTCTCTAGCAGTCTTCTAGTCAACTTTCAAGTTTCAGCTCTTTGATGGTATTCTCTGATTTCCCAAACAGCCTTCAAAGAATTTGCTCCTGCCTCACTTTCCCCATTTTACCAAGTATACTCCTCCATTAGATAATTCTTTTATGTTAATTGTTTGCATGTCTGCCTTCCCACGAAATTCCTAAGCTCTTTGTAGAAAAGACTCATTCATATCTTTTTCATTTTTGTTTTCCAGAATGTCATAACAATACTTACTATATAGTTGTTGTTGTTATGTGCCGTCAAGTCGGACCCAACTCATAGCGACCCCTCCTTGGGTTTCCGAGGCAGTATCACTAAGGAAGTAGATTGCCCCATCTTGCTTCCGAGGAGTGGCTGGTGGTTTTGAACTGCCAGGCTTCTGGTTTGCAGTCAAGTGCCTTAGGCACTACACTACCAGAGCTCCCTATTATATAGAGAAAGCATAATAATAGTGTATGACTAAAATGAGTGAGTCATAATGGTGTGCGGGGTTCTATAATCTCTGAAAGGAAGGTATTAGAGCTTTGGTATTATATGCAACTTCACACTCATCCTGTAGCTTTTAATGGCAAGTCTATACACAGTCTTTTGCTGACATTTGACATTTGAGTTCTGTATTGGAGAAACTATGCACTTTGGAATATTTTTACATGAACTGACTCCTCCATAGCCAGTAAGAGATACCCCTGTAAAGGACTTTATCTTTTCAGCTGCCTTACTGTTTTTTTCTTTTGCAGCATAAATTAGAATGGGATTTGCAGCAGAAAGAGGAAGAGATTGCTGAATTGCAGAAAGCTCTAAGTGATATGCAAATCTGCCTTTTCCAGGAACGAGAACATGTTTTACGCCTCTACTCAGAAAATGACCGGTTGAGAATCAGGTACCTAGTAGGAGAAGGGACACAACTGGGGGGACATAATTCAATCCATAGCAATACTTTTCTAATCAGCCTTACTCTTTTCACTGTAACATTGGAGTTATAGTTCTAAATTACTCTAAACCAAAAACCAAACACGCTACCATTGAGTTGGATCTGAGTCAAAGCGACCCTTCCTTGGGTTTCTGAGGCAGTATTATTATGGAAGTAGATTGCCCAATTTCCCTTCCGAGGAACAGCTGGTAGGTTTGAACCAACAGCCTTCTGGGTAGCAGTCAGATGCCCTAGGTGCTACACCACCAGAGCGCTAGACAAGATAAATATCTCTTCAGTCACTCATTTAGGTTTTATTCCCAGGAAACAGACTCTAATGTGGAGATTTGCTTGCAGGGTAATTATTGTGGAGGTTCTCAGGAATAACTCCTATGAGCAGATACAGGCAGAGGGAGAATTAGAACTGCAGTACAGGGGTAAAAGAAGCCTTAGCCAACACCACAGGGAGCTTTGAGGCTGGAATGGCCTTTTAGAGGCAAAAGGGTTGAACTTCTATGTCCACACATTGACCTGTCATTGGATGCAGGCTGCTCCCAGGGAAGAGGTGAAAACTTGAGAGAAGGCATCACCCTTCAGCCAAGGGCAATACCTAGGAAGGACTCAGCTTCTGGGGATGGGTGTCTTGGTCCCAAAGGGAGCATCTGAGAAGTGCACCATAGCATCTTCTACAGTGTATTTCTTGCACTGCTCAGATCCACTTGCTTCTTAATGATAAATTCACCCTATCTCAAAACAGCTCTTTTGGTATTCTGGTTGATTTCATCCTGGAGAAACTTGAAAGAAGTTTCAAGAAACTTCTAGAGCTAATAAAGGTATTTAGCAAAGTTGCAGGGTATAAGGTCAAGAAACAAAAATTGGTAGGCTTTGTATACACTAGCAGTGAGAAATCCAAAATGGAAATTAGGGAAACAATTCCATTTACAATAGCATCTAAGAGAATAAGATACCTAAGAATAAATCTAACCAGGGACATGAAGAATTTAAAGAATGAAAGCTATAAAACATTGCTGAAATAGATTAAAGAAGACTTAAATAAACAGAAAGATCTTCTTTGTTTGTATGTTGGAAGACTTAATATTGTTAAGACGTCAGTACTACCTAAAGCAATCTATAGATTCAGCACAGTCCCAATTAAAATTCCAACAGCCTTCTTTACAGAAGTGGAAAAAACAATCCTCAACTTTATGTGGATTGACAAGCTGCCCTGAATAGCTAAAGAAATGCTGAAAGAAAAGAAAAAGTAGAAGGACTCACACTTCCTGATTTTAAAACGTACTATACAGCCACAGTAATCCAAATAGCCTGGTACTTCTGTAACAATAGACACATAGACCAAAGGAACAGAATTGAGAGTGCAGACACAAACCTACACTTCTTTGGTCAACTGATTTTTGGCAAGGGTGCTAAATCTGTTCAGTGGGGAAAGAAGAGTCTTCAATAAATGCTGTTGGGGAAAGTGGATCTCCAGTTGCAGAAAAATGAAACAGATCCATGCCTCACACTGTGCACAAAACAAATTCAAAATGATCTGTTGGAGTTTTCTGCGGGATTTCATGTCAGTGGGTCAAACACGCTAAGTCCTTGAATAGTGGGGCCAGATAAGGACAGAGAAGCAAACCCAAGTTTGGAATATGTCCTAGTCAAGGTAAATCACTGCCTCTGGCCTCTTCCAGGGTCCATTGTGATCAACTTGCCAGCTTATGGCTGTTGGTCTTCTTGAAGATGGTGTATCAGAGCTCAGAGATATCCTAAATTGAAGCTAAGAGATTGGGCTTTTGTACCCCCTCATTGACTAGGCATTGGATACAGTCTGTCCCTGAGGAATGAGGGACATAAACTTGGGGGAGGCAGTTCTCCTGGGCTGAAGGTAGTTCTGGAGAGAGGCTCAGGTATGTGCAATAGGCAGGCAACATTCCTGGCATTTGGGGGAATGAGACCATCAGTCCTAAAGAGGGAAGTCTGGGCAGAGCATTCCAGCATCCATTACAGGTCCCTTCTAGAACTGTCTAAGAAATTATTTCCTGGCTTCTTTCAGTACTCCTGAATACAAATACCTGATGCTTTAAAAAGGTAGAGCTAAGGTCTAGATAAATCCTATTCAATTATAATTTGAGGTCCTGTTACTTTAAAAATAAGTAAGTCAGTAGGGAGAGCTTTTAAGCAGAAAATGTTGGGTATTCTGGATACATAATTTTTACTTACTTTCTATGAGAATTGCAGGGAAGTAGAAGACAAGAAAAAGATTCAAAGTCTCTTGGCTCTTGTGGGAACAGACACTGGAGAAGTGACCTATTTTTATAAGGAGCCTCCTCACAAAGTAAGTACTCTTTGGTATAGCGTAGTGAGTATGGCTTTTATAAAGTACAGGCTAAGTTCCATAATCAGAACAACTTTGGTACTTGCTAAAGAAGATAGATGCAGATTCAGCCATAATTGTCTCAAGTTTGCCTGAGTTACCAAAGACCTTTCTGTGATTACAGACAGCATTATAATTTCATTCTTTTCTTTGAAAAGCCTTAGGAAATAGTGTTGTTTACCCCATTTTACTATTTAGAAACCTAGAGCTCAGGAGAGTGGATGTTGTGGCTGAAATAAGAGAGGAAAGTAGGAGCAGACATACTGTGGGAGCATGTTTCAGTACGTGAATTTCTTTTTTAATCTTTGTTTATACTGATTACAAAAGTAATGCATCGTCTTTATTAAAAACAAACATACAAATTTATAGAAGTGTATCATATAAAAGTAGAAGTCTCATAATCCTATACCCCAGAATAAACTATTATTAATAGTTTGTTATATATACTTTCAACCCTTTTTCCAGTCATGTGGCATTATTTATGTGTGTGTACTATTTTCATTTTTATAAACAATGCCTCAGTGAACATCTATGTACATCTATACATAACATACATACACATGTACATATACATATATATTTCTGTGTTTCTATTAGATGTTTCCTGAAAGCCTTATCGGGTGTTGCTAAATAGCCCTGCAATTTTATTTTATTTTTTTTTTAGTTTATATCACCAAGACTGGGTTTCATCCAATTTGTTACTTTTCCTATGTGACATCTCATATTTATGATAACCTTATATGAATATCTCAACTTTAACCAATTTACAACTGCCCAAAAGAAAAGATAAGAAGGGAAGGAGGGGCAGGGAAACTGGAGGGATGGAAAGGAGGGGAAAAAAACTTAAACTCACTGCTGTGGAGGCGATTCCAACTCATAGTGACCCCCTTGAGTTTCTGAAGTGGTAAATCTTTAAGGGAGTAGATTGCATACCAACCTTCTGGTTAGCAGTCATCTGCCTTAGGCACTATGCCACCAGAGCTCCTTGGAAAGGGGGAAAACACACTGCCATCAAGTCTTATTCGAATCATAGCAACCCCTCCTTGGGTTTCTGAGGCAGTATCCCTATGGAAGTAGATTGCCCAACCTTCCTTCTGAGGAGTGATTGGTGGGTTTGAACCGCCAGCCTTCTGGTTAGCAGTCAAATGCCTTATGCACTGCGCCACCAGAGTTCTTTGGAAAGGGGGAAGGTAGGGTGGAAATGGGAAGAGTGCTGATACATGGTGGGGGTAGCATCCAGTGTCACAGAGTAATTTGTATGTAAATTTTTGAATGGGAAACTAATTCTCTGTGTAAACTTTCACCTAAAACACACAAAAAATGTTTTTAACCAGTTCAGCTTCTGAATAATGTCTGAGCTGTGGGACTAAGGCTAAAAAGTAAAATACTACATTTATAGGAAGGTCACTTCTACACATTTTTTTTTTTTGCTTCTTCAGGTTACCATTCCCCAAAAGACTATCCAGACTGTAAATATACGTGATCATAGTGAATATTCAACTTTAAAAGCAGGTAACAACCATATTATTATAAATGCGCATTGATCCAGAACTCAGAATCACAATGTAAATCATTAGAATTTTTTCTCTACTGTACAGTGATAATTAATGTCCTTAACAGTGGCTCTGGTGATCTGAGATCCTTCTAAGCTCATTGAATCATCCAAATAATTAAATTTTGTTCAGTGCAATTTTAGTATTTTTTTTCCACTTTTATCATGATGAAAACATACACAACTAGACATTTGCCAGCATAACAACTATCTTAAAAATAATCTTATCTTCTAAATATTGGATGATATCTCATAACCAAAATGTTTAAATTTAGTTGCTTTTTTTATTATTCCTTGCCTGTTCTGACTAAATAGTACTTTACAGAGAAAATAAACACAACTCCGAAGGAAAATTTAACAGTTCATTCTGTAAAAAGAGATATCATTATTATCCAAGCGAAATCCTACAGAGTTCTCTTATAGAGATTCCTATTTGAAAAATTAAGCACTATAGCTGGTGTATACTTTCCTTTTCCTTCCTTTCCTTCTTTTTTAGGTAAGTGGAACCACACTCCATGCAAGGGATACTGACACCTGTGTAGCAGAAAAAAAGATGAGAAAAGTTTTTTTGACTAATTTTTGTTTTCTATTTTAGATTCTAAAATAAACAAAAGAAGACCAGCAATGAGAGAGAAGGAAGAAAGTCCTGAACAATACCAAAGATATATAGAGACACTTATCCTACAAGTAAAGAATTTGTTTTGGCAGACTAGTCCACAACCTTAGCTTTGTATAACATACCTTTAGTGTCATGAGTCTCTCCTTGCACACAGGGTGTATCTAGACATCACATGATTAAGAAAAGTGAGGTTGTTCCTAATTTTCAAGAGCTAATATTTTATTGAGACATTCGTTTTTTTTTTATGCATTCTGTTGAGACATTCTCTTTTTTTTAATGTATTCGTTTGGGGAGACTCCTTAGGTTTCATAGTCGGTTGGCTGTAATCTTTATAGAAGCCACTCACCTGACATGACCTTGTGGGTACTACTGGGGAGGTTTGAACAGGCAACTTTGGGTTACTAGCTGAATGCAGGCCGTCTGCACCACCCAGGAACCTTCAAGAGCTCATATTTTAAAACCAGTGTTCTCTGTTTGACCATTGTAGAAATGCTACTCTGAACCTTAGTTCATTTAATTTATATGCTAAGCCCTACCCAACAAAAGCACCATAAAGTAAAAATTTCTTTTGTGTTTGGCTTAAGGGATATGCAAAGGAAACTTGTCCGTGCTGATAGACTATCATTTGGTACAGTACATTTATTTAGGACATCAGGTTTTTGGTGGGTTTTTTTTTTTAATTTTTATTGTGATTTAGGTAAAAGTTAAAAGAGCAAATTAGTTTTCCGTTTGATAGTTCTCACATAAAGTGCTCCATGATACTGGTTACATTCCCTACACTATGTCAGCACTCTCCCCATTTCTGCCCTGGGTTCTGTATTTGTTTTTGTCTGAATTTTCTATCCCTTCCTGCCTTCTCATCTTTGCTTTTGGGAAAATGTTGTCCTTTTGATCTGTATAATCGATTGTTCTAAGTAACAAGTTCCTTATTGTTTATGGGCCTATTGTTTGGCTAACAGGTGGTCTCTGGGAATGGCTTCAGTTCCAGGTCAGGAAGATGTCTTAGTGCCATCGTTTTGGGAGTATCTCCAATCTCTGTTAGACCAGCAAGTCTGGTCTTTTTTGTGAATTTGATTTTTTGTTCTACATTTTTTTCCCACTGTCTGGGACCCTCTGTTGTGATCCTGATCAGAGTGGTCAGTAGTGGTAACCAGGCACCATCTAGTTCTTCTGGTCTCGGGGTCATGTAGGCTGTGGTTCCTGTGGTCCATTAGTCCTTTGGAATAATTGCTTCCTTGAGTCTTTGGTTTTCTTCATCTCTTTTGCTCCAGATGGGAAGAAATCAATAGTTGTATCTTCAATGGCCGCTTGCAAGCTTTTTTAAGATCTCAGACAGTACTCACCAAAGTAGGATACAGGACATTGTCTTTACAAACTGTGTTGTGCCAGTTAGCATAGGTGTCCCTCAGGTCTATGGTCCTTCACATTCGAACCTAGGAACATTGTCCCATGAGGTTTTTGGTTTTGTCTAAGAAGTTTCCATGACTGTGCCCCTTGTGCTCTATTGTCCATATTAGTATACATGCAGCATCTATTATGTAGACTATATATATATATATATATATATATATATATATAGTTATATACATAATATAATTATGATATAGAAATATCTACAACCCAGCTTAGATATTTCTAGTATAATAATGCTATTATAGGAGCTCTGGTAGCATAGTGCCTAAGGCACTTGACTGCTAACCAGAAGTCTGGCAGTTCAAACCCACCAGCCACTCCTTGGAAGGAAGGTTGGACAATCTACTTCCGTAGTGATACTGCCTTGGAAACCCAAGGAGGGGTCGCTATGAGTCGGGTCTGACTCGAGGGCACATAACAACAAAGCAACAATGCTATTATAATATAGCTTGTCCATATTACAGTAATTACTATATTTGCCCTTTATTTTTGCATTCCTTTCAGTATCTTCTTTTACCTTGGTCATGTGCTGACTTCCCTCATATTGTGTATTGTCTTTCCCTTCACCATTATTAACACCTATATTCTATCTAATCAGTATTATCCCTACACTACCCTTCCCATCCTTCCTAACCATCAAATAATTTTTTTTCTGTGTGTAAACTTTTTCTTGTTTTTCTTTTTAAATAGTAGTGGTTTCATACAATATTTAGGGAGCTCTGGTGGCATGGTGCCTAAGGCATTTGACTGCTTACCAGAAGGCTGGTGGTGCAAACCCACCTGCCACTCCTTGGAAGGAAGTTTGGCCAATCTCCCTCCATAGAGATACCACCTCGGAAACCCAAGGAGGGGTTGCTATGAGTTGGATCTGACTCAATAGCAGTGTTTTTTTTTTTTCATAGAGTATTTGTCCTTTCGTGATTCACTAATTTCATTTAGCATAATGTCTTCTAAATTCATCTGTATTGTGAGATGTTTTGCAGACCCATTGTTACTCTTTAGTGTTGCACAGTGTTCCATTGTGTGTATGAACCACAATTTGTTTATCCATTCATCTGTTGATGGGCTTTGTGGTGGTTACATTTGTGTGTCAACTTGGCTAGGCCTGGTTGAGTGGCTGGGCAGCTGGATGTAGTATTCCCCATGATGAGACTGGTAATCAACTCCATGGCGGGATCTATTGTGAGCAGCTGAGTATCTGCCTTTGGGTATGTGGTCTGCTTCCTGTATATAAGAAACAGCTTTGGGAATGGTCTCTAACTGATGGCTCGCTTGAGCCCTGCACATAGCCATATTGTTGTTCAGCAGCCTGCCATGCTTTGCTGACCTTAGGACTTTCAGTGGAATTGAGTTAATGGCCTGCCATATGATTTAGTAACATCAGGACTGTGCCTTTTTATTTGTCAACCTTGGGCTTGTCCATCTCAGCAGCTAGCAGCTCTCTGAGTGAAGAAAAGCCTCTAGCTCCAGTGGGCTGGGAGCAGGAGACAGAGCTGAAGCCCAAGTTTGAGGGGCTTTCATCCAGACCCCAGAGCCTGGCACTTTGAACTTGGACTTAAAGCCTCTAAACTATAAGGGAATAAACTCCTGTTTGTTCAAATACCATTTGTGGTATTTTCTGTTGGAGCGGAACAAGGTAACCAGAACAGGCACTTAGGTTGAGTACTAAAGTCTAGGTAATTATATGTCATTTGGAATTTGATTTTTCTACTGGTTGCACTGTCCTTATTAGGGGAGTCCATTGATTGAAATGACAGTTTGTTTGTTTTTTTTTAAATTGTGATTTGGGTGAAAATTTACAGAGCAAATTTACTTTCCATACAACAGTTCACATATACTTTGTCTCATGACATTGACTACAATTTATCCCAATGCAACAGTTCCCCTCCTACTTCCTCCCGACAGTTACCTCTTCCCTTTGTCCATCCCTCCATGCACTCCTGTTCCCTGAGCTGTCTCCCTGTGCATACACAGTCCTTCTTTCTCCCATGATTGATCTCTCCAAGGAGTGTTTCTACCTCAGGTAAATGTTCAACTCATATGCTTGTCTTTTGTTTGTCTGGAAGCCACAGGTGTGGGTTCAATTCCAGACCTGAAGGGCAGCTAGGGGCCATAGTCTCAGGGGTTCCACCAGGCTCTGTCAGACCAGCAAACCTGGTTCCCCCTTTTTTTCCCCCCCAAATGATTTTGAGTTTTGTTCCACATTGTTCTTCTCCTCTACCCAGAATCTCCTACATTGATCCCCCTCCAAGTGGTTGACAGTGGTAGCCAGGCACCATTTAGTTCTTCTAGTCTCATAGTCGTATAGTCTGCAGATTGCATGATGTACCAGTTGCTAGGACTAATTATTTCTATGAATCTTTGGTTTTCTTCATTCTTCTTTGCTCTAACAAGGGTCTTCCATCATTGCATTTAGATGGCTTTTTGCAAGCTTTTAAGATCCCAGTCGCTACTCGCCAAAGTAGGAGGTAGAACAATGTTTTATGTAGTATGTTATGCCAATTAGCTTGATGTCCCCTGTGACTATGGTCCCGAGCCCACAGGTTCAACTACTCGCTCCCTGTGGGTAGCTGGCTGTAACCAAGAAGTAACTACAACCTTGCCCTTTGTGAAATGACAGTTTTTACTTTTGGCCAGTATCTCTACTTAGAGTCATGACATCTAGACTCAGAAAAGTAAATTACATATTCCTATTCATTTACTCTACTTTTTTAAACTAAAAAATGAAGAAAAGAATCATTCTGTTTCTGTGCAACTAAGGAGTCTTAAAAAGGAGAGAACCCTAAAAGTTCTAAAAGGGAGATAGTGAAAAGGTGAGAATCCTCAGGTAGGGGAAAATGATTTTCTAGCTTTCTTTGTGTGGTAGGTCATGGGCTTATCATAGACAAAGAGTTGCTCTTATGTAGCCTAACGCTGTAAAATACTAAGTAGGGTGAAGTTGAGATTTTCCACTGTTTATTTTGCCACTGTGTTTGGTTTGTTTTTACGTTTTCTGGAGCAAGTCATGCTGTTAGAGGTTGCATCTGCAGGTAAGAAGTAAGTGGAAGCAGAAGTGCACCCCTCACCCTTGTTGGCCTGTCTAGGTGGAAGCACTGCAGGCGCAGCTGGAAGAACAGACCAAGCTTTCGAGAGAACAGGTTGAAGGACTCATGGAAGATAGGCGGATTTGCATTGAGGAAATACAAGTTCAACACCAGAGAAATCAGGAGAAAATCAAAGAGCTGACCAAAAAGTGAGTGTTCAAGAAAAGCTATACCTAAAATATTTTTTTATTTTTCTGAGGAGCTTAAAAGTTAACAGTCCTTATCCTGAAACCAGAAGAGTTCCAGGTGACCACTACTGACCGTTCTGATTAGGAACACAATAGATGGATCCTGATAGAATGAGATCAAAGTATGGAACAGAACTCAAATTCTTGAAAAGTCCAGACTTACTAGACTAGTTGATGCCCCAAGACTGTAGCCCTGAAATACTCTTTAAACCTTGAACCAAAACTATTCTATGAGATTATCTTTTAGCTAAATAACAGATTCATGAAATAAACAATATCATCTGTGAGTACTGTGCTTCTTCAAAAAATCTTCTGTAGGAGAGCAAACTGTGAACATTTATTCAGAAGCAAAGATGAGAAGGCAAGGAAGGGGTTAGGGAAACTAGATTACTGGAAACAGAACAAGTAGAATGGAAATGAGAAAATTGACACACTGTGAAAAATATAGCCAATGTCACTGAACAAATTGTGTAGAAATTGTTAAATGGCAACCTAATTTGCTGTGTACAGTTTCACCAAAAACACAATAAAATATTAAAATAAAATAACAGTCCTATACTTTAGCAACATAATATCATGGAACTGAAAAGGACCTTGAAAAAATTGTCTTCTTCTGACACCCTGCCTCTATGTAGGTGAGTGCCCAGGTTTTATCCAAGAATCCTGTTAATTCTCTTCTTGAACAGCTGGTGGGTATTCCACATGGTCCTGTTAACGATTTTAGTGTTTTAGCTTGATTCTAGTGCTTAAGTGCTTTTATCTGACTTAATGTAGAAGGATTTGTTTTGTTTAACCCCTCATGAATATGGGAAAATATGACCTTACATACTTGTATGGCAAAAAAAGGAAAATGTGAACACTATGATGACTGCATTTGTTTCTTACCTGCCTGCCATTCCTCATTCTGTGATCTGATTTCATCCCCACCATTTTATTAAACATGCCCTTTCTATGGCCATCACTGACTGCTTAATTTCTAAGACCAGTTCTCTCTTTCCAGTCCTTATTATAGTTAGTATCTGTCATAGTTAAGGGTGTGTGTCAACTTGTCACTCCCCATGATGAGACTTGTAATCAACTCTATGGTGGAACTACTGTGAGCAGCTGAGTAGCTGCCTTAGGGATATGGTCCGCTTCCAGTATATAAGAAGTTTTGAGAAAGGTCTCTCAGCTTTTTGGCATGCTTGGACCCTGTCCATAGCCAAGTCTTCATCTCAGTGGTCTGCCATGTTGTCTGCCAATCTTGAGACTATTTCTGGACTTGAACTAATGGCCTCCCATATTGCTTGATAATCTTGGGACTGTGCCCCTTTCACAAGGAGCTCTGGTGGCATAGTGCCTAAGGCATTTGACTGCTAACCAGAAGGCTAGCAGTTTAAACCCACCAGCCACTCTGCAGAGAGAAGACCAGGCAATCTGCTTCCATAAAGATTTACCACCTTGGAAACCCAAAAAAAAAACCAAACCAAACTCACTGCCATCGAGTCAGATCCGACTCATAGTGACCCCTTCTTGGGTTTCTGAGGCAGTATTACTACGGAAGTAGATTGCCCAATCTTCCTTCCAAGGAGGGGTGGGTTTGAACAGCAATCAAATGCCTTATGCACTGTACCACCAGAGCTCCTTGGAAACCCAAAGAGGGTTGCTATGGGTCAGAATCGACTCAATGGCAGTGAGTTTTGTTTTGTTTAGTGCCCTTTTACTTGTTGACCTTGGGTTTGTCGGCCTCAGCAGCCAGCAAGAGAGACACCTCCAGCTTCAGTGGACCAGGAGCAAGAGGCAGAGCTAAAGCCCAAGGTCAAGGAGCCTTCACTCAGTCCCTAGAGCTGGCACTTTAAACTCAGACTTCTAGCTTCCTGAACTGTAAGAGAATAAATCCATGTTTGTTGAAGCCATCCACCTGTGGTATTTCTGTTAGAGTGGCACTAGAGAACCAAGACAGTACCTTTCTGTGTTTCTGACACCACTGATTGCCCCTTCTTTTAAATAAATCTTCTTTGTTTTCTGTACCGCCAAGCTTTGTTGGCTTTTCTGCTTTTCTAGTCCTCCTCAGCCTTTCAGCTGGTTCCACTGGCCAGATCTGTGCCTGACAGACATCCTCTGTTGAATATGCTTGACCACCTCAAATGTGCCATGACTGAAACCAAATTGATCATCTCCTCCAACAAAGAGTCCCCTCCACATCTCAAACCTACTACCTCTTTCTACCATTTAATTTTGTGATGTCACCATCTACCCAGTTTCCCTTGAAATGTCAGAATCATCCTTACCTTCTCACTCTTTTATTCCCTAATTCCAGACCCTATCAAGTGGATGCCTGAGAAGCATCTCAAATCCATTCTCTGCCCTCTCATTCTTGCTACATTGGTTCAATAATCTGTTTTTTCTTTCTCTAGTCCTTTTGTCTTCTATAGTCTTTCTCACTGCTGTGAGTTGGCTCTTCCACCAAGAATTACTGATGGCTTAAAAACATTTGATAGCCCCCATTTACCTTATAATAAAATCCTGATACCTTTGCTTGAGATATTAGGAACTTCATCATCTGACAGCAAATTGACCTTTTCTGCTCAGCTCCACCTCTGTTGTATAGTTAACCTTCTGCTTCAGCCAGACAAATAATACTTACAGAGCTCTTGTTATGTGGCAGGCACCATGCTAAGGACTGTCACCCCTTCCCTGAAGATTTTCCCAGGCAGAATTAAGTTCTTTCTAGTCCACATTCCCATAATGATTAGGTGCCTCTATGATGACACCTATCCACTCTGTGGTAATTATGTCTTTGTTCCCAGGGTCTTACTAAAGCCTCTCTGCCCTACCCTGCATGCATAATAGGCACACAATACACATTGGTTAGTTACTCGATTGGTCTTTATCAAGTTGCATCTTACTGCCTTTTTCTGTATTAAACATCCTAGATTTTAAAATACTTTTTCATTTCACATATTCATCCCTTTATCATCTTCTAATTGCCTTCTCAAACTTTTCTAGTGTCTTCACCTCCATTTTAAAGTGCAGTGGTTAAAATTGGATAGGATAGAATCAGTGACCAAAAGAGGATAGAAAATGTTTTCTGGCCCTTTCAGGCTATTTTATTTACTTATTTTAGCATACTATGATATGTTTTGTGTTTTGCTAGTACTTCTCCATCTTTTCTTTTTGGCATTTTGTACTGAAACACAGCATCTTGACTTTTCATTGGATTTTCCCTGTTCTTAGGGAACCAGAATTCTAAATTCTCACAGTAAATTATAATTTTATTTCTGTCTTCCAGAATATTAATAACATCCTAATTTAGCACCATCTGCATGGTTGAGCACGTGATCTGTGCCTACCATTACGTAGGTCATCCTAAGGATATTGAATGGCATAAAATCCAAGACCATTAATGACTGCCCTTTGTGTGTCACTTTCAAACTATTTGTACATTAATGAGACCATACTTTGCCAGATTGTAACTGAGAACATAATGTAAGACAGAATGAAATAACTCATTGAAAGCAGGAGATAGCTTTGTGGTAACTGAATCAGTCTTTCTCCTTATATATACACATACACTGAATAAATATCTATATTCATCTGGTGATATTTACTCTACTTTGTGCCAGGCATTATGCTATCATTTCCCCTTTATCTCTATACTCTGTTACTCATAAAAAGAATTAAGTGGATCTGACATTACATGTTCATTGGAACACTACAGAGATTGCTTCATGGTATGTGATAATCTTGCAAGCGGCTTGATCATTTGATATAGTATTTTTCTGGGTGTTGATGTTAAATAGATGAGTTGCTAACTCCCAGGAGTATTCTCTTGAAAACAGAAACATCATTTGTCTATTTCTAAATATCAAGAAATAAACTAACAAAAACTCACTGCCATCAAGTCAGTTCTGACTCATAGAGACCCTCATTGGGTTTCCGAGGTAGTAAATCTTGATAGAAGTAGATTGCCTCATCTTCCTTCCATGGAGCAGTTGGTGGGTTTGAACCACCAATCTTTTGGTTTGCTGTCAAATACCTTATGCACTGTGCCACCAGAGGTCCTTATCAAGAAATAGCAAGAATCTATTTAGTGCCTCTGTATGTCCAGTAATTGGTATTGGCTTTGACAGTCTGTGGTAATGGTGCAAAAATAAATGAAAACTAGTGGCATAGTGCATTTGACTGCTAACCAGAAGGCTGGTGGTTCAACCCTACCAGCCACTCCTTGGAAGGGAGATTGGGCAATCTACTTCCATAATGATACTGCCTCGAAAACCCAATTAGGGGTCACTATGAGTCAGATTAGGAGCTCTGGTAGCATAGTGGCTAAAGCACTTGACTGCTAACCAGACGGCTGGCGGTTCAAACCCGCCAGCCACTCCTCGGAAGGAAGGTTGGGCAATCCTACTTCTGTAGTGATACTGCCTCGGAAACCCAAGGAGGGGTCGCTATGAGTCGGGGCCGACTCGACGGCACGTTACAACAACAACAACAACAACATGAGTCAGATTCGACTCAAAGGCAGTAACTTTGGTGCTTTTTTTGTAAGGTATATGCCTTCAGTCAGTTTAGGAAAACATACATGTTGACAGTTAAAACATGGCATATTATGGTATATAAGCAAGCATTGAATTATGTGGTACAGATTATAACTGAGAGAGTTTCAGAAAATGGATAAATTAAAATGGACTGAAGTTGTCAGGATAATTTCATAGAAGATGTTGATCTTGAAAAATGGATGGGATGAGATTTGATGTAGGGTAGTTCATCCATTGAGCATAGCACAAACAAAAGCAAAGTTGTTTTGACATTTTGTAACTTGTGTTAACCCTCAGTTAGAACACCATGGTTTAGTTCTTCATTGTAACAGTCTAGTTCCTGGGAATAGTCCATACATATGCAAGCTATGTATTTCTGTAATTCTTTTAATTACACACCTGAAATTAGCACTTAGGAAAATATCTGTGAACCAGTGTGCATGAGTAAATATATTATACTTTGTCTGGTAAAACCTGTAAGATTTGCGGTGATCAGACCAGATGTATTTGTTAAACTGCTAGTAATATTTTACAGAATTTATACAATACACAGTTTTAGAAAAACCTCTGTCTTCCCTTTGTTTGGAATAACCCTAGGTGTCAGGCATGTTGTGTTCTTCATGTTCTTTCTTTCATAGTCTCCATCACACCCAAGAACTACTCTATGAGAGCACCAAAGACTTTTTGCAACTCAAATTTGAAAACCAACATAAAGAGAAGTCATGGATGCTTGAAAAGGATTGTTTGATGTCAAAGATTAAGCAATACAGGCTGCAGTGTAAGAAGAAAGAAGATAAAACTGGAAAAGTTTGGCCAGTTGTACACCAGAGTCATCATAATCAAAATGACTATATTAAGGTAGTTTCCTTACATCTTACAGAAATTGTTTCATTTTCTGGAAGGGTTGAAAGAACTCAGAAAATTCCGAAGAATTTAAAAATTGTTGTACCAGATCCATTAATTCCAAGAAGCTTTCATAGCAGCAGCCTCAAGCAGTAGGTTTCAAAGAGTCGTAGTATTTAGGGTAGAAAATTAGACTACTGATTTATTCATTCAGGAAATACTAACAGCACTCTTGCTATGTATAGGCTAGGCTTTTAATCTACAGCAGAAATAAGTTAGACAAGGTCTGCCTTATGGAGTCTAGATTTTAATTGGACAGAAAGAATGCTCCCAGATTAGCAAATAACCTGTAAGAAAATTACAGGTTACAAAATATACAAGAAATACAAGGTATTATGTACAAGGTATATAAAGAATAAATAGGATTATATGAAGAACAGTAGTTGTTAGAAGCCAATGTTTAGGGTAGAACAGGGACACTGTTTTAAGTCTTAAGAGGTGATGTTTTTGCTGAGACCTGAAACTTGTCCTGCAGACCGAGGGGAGGAGCATTCTAGGCAGAAGAAGAGCAAGTGTAAAAGCCCTGGAGGATATTCAAGGCACAGGAAGGATGCCGATGTGGTTATAGAGGGATAAGCAAGGAGTAAGTGGGTTGAGAATAGTGCCTAAGGCATTTGACTGCTAACCAGAAGACTGGCGGTTGACACCCATCAGCCACTCCTCAGAAGGAAGATTGGGTATCTCCGTCCATAGAGATACTGCCTCAGAAACCAAGGAGGGGTCGCTGTGAGTCGGAAACAACTCGAGGGCAGTGAGTTTGGTTTTAGTTTCTTAAGTAGTTTGAGAGGTAGACAGTAGCCAATCATGGAGAGCCTTATAGGTCACGGTAAGGATTGTGTGCAAAGAAGTGGTATGATGTAATTTAGGTTTTAAAAAGATCATCCTGGACTAGGTTTACTGGTCTGATAGAGCCTGGTGAGAACCCCCGAGACTATGGCCCCTATTTAGCCTTCACGTCTGGGATTGAACTCACTAGCTTCCAGACAAACATTGATAGGCTTATAGGGTGGACATTTACATCAGGTAGATACACTCTTTAGAACGATCAATCATGGGAGAATAGAAGGGCAATATTTGCATAGGGAGATGGAATGCATAGGAAAAAAGGATACAGGGAGAAAGTGGGAAGAGAGCTATGAAATTGTGGAGAATTGCAGTCAATGTCATGAATCAAAATGTGTATGAACTGCTGTATTGAAAATGAATTTGCTCTGTAAACTTTCACCCAAATCATAAAAAAAATTTGGGGAAAAAAATCATTCTGGCTGCTCAGTGGAACACTTACAATAGGTGATGTTGTTGTTGCTGTTTCTTCCTTTTTAAAGAACTTTAGAAATGTGCCCCAAAATTTATATTGTGATATCTTACTTGGGACAAATTCTTAGCTCCATTACATGACTCCTCACAGACCCAGATATATTTGTTTTGTTTTGAAGTATTTCTGCCATGTACGTATTAGAAAGCAGGCTAAGAAGTATTCCTCAGACAAGTTTCTTGCTGTCTTACTCCTTAACTCATTTTGTATTTCTGGAAATCTTACCTTTCTTTACCTAAGTACTATTTGAATTACCTATATTGTAGAACTGATATTAATGTTTTGTGTGTGTATGTGTGTGTTTTTGCCCCCTTTTGACATGTAGACCCTGAAGGATAAATTAACACAAGAAAAAAAACTTTCCAACATGTACCAAGAGCAGTGCATTTCCCTAGAAGAAGAACTTGCCCGAATTCGAGAGGAAGAAAGTGTGAGGAGAGAGATCTTCAAGGTACAAAATTCTCTGCCACTTATGATGGAGTGGGAGGTATAGACTGCTCAGGGAAATGCCTCCCTCATCTTCATTAAATGCCTTCCCATTTTCCCATATTTAGGATCGCACTAACAAGATGGGGAAGCGTTTACAGGTGATGACAAAACGGTACGAAGCTTTGGAGAATCGACGTATCTTGGAAGTAGAAGGCTTTAAGACAGATATTAAGACTCTCCGGCAGAAACTTAAAGACTTAGAGCAAATGCTATATAAGGTAATTGCTTATTCTGACTTACCAAAAAGGGAGAAAGGCGTGGAAGTAAGGAAATATAGTCATGAAGACTATTCAGAAGAAGGAAGTGCTATTTCCCTGGCAGTAAGTACTGTACTAATGGATCAACTTTAAGCTTCACTGGAAATCAGTTTAACAATTACACACTAGAAGGGGAAAACAAAAATACACATAACTAATTAAAAGATTACTGTGGTAGTTAACTTTGTGTGTCAACTTGGCTGGACCTGGTTGAGTGGTTGGGCAGCTGAATGTAGTTATTCCCCATGGTGAGAGGGTAGTTAACTCCATGGTGGAATCTATTGGAGCAGCTGAGTAGTTGCTTTAGGGATATGGTCTGCTTCCCGTATATAAGAAACAGCTTTGGGAATGGTCTCTAGCAGATGGCACACTTGGACCCTGCATGTACCCTGGTTGTTGTTCAGCCTGCCATGCTCTGCCAACCTTGGGACTTTCAATGGACTTGAATTAATAGCCTGCCGTGTGGTTTGGTAACATCAGGACTGTGCCTTTTTACTTGTCAACCTTGGGCTTGTCAGTCTCAGCAGCCAGTAGCTGTCTGAGTGAAGAAAACCCTCTAGCTCCAGTGGGCAGGGAGCAGGAGGCAGAGCTGAAGCCCAAGGCTGAGGGGCTTTCAACCAGCCCCTAGCACCCGGCATATTGAACTCAAGACTTAATGCCTTCAAACTAAGAGAATAAACTCCTGTTTTTAAATCATCCTATTTGTGGTAGATTCCTGTCAGAATGGCACTAGGTAACCAAAACAACTACATCACTGTCCTTGCATCTGTGCTAAACTTATCAAAAATTGTCATCCTTCCCAATTCAAGAAGTAGATTAGAAGAATTATGTCTGTTTTACAAATGAGGAAAGTGAGTAATTGAGTAATAAAGTAATTTCTCCAAATCAGATTCAGCTTTATTTAGAGTCGAAGTTGCCTCAAAAGCCTTCTTAGATTTAACCAGTCATTCGCCTACCCTCAATGATCACTGTATTTCAAACAAGATTAATTAAAGAGGAGATGCTTTCTTTCCTTCTTTAGCAAATTTACCAATAACATTTTTACATTGGTTTCTCTTTTTACCCATTATTTGTTGGTTGTTGATCTGTTTCAAGGCTCTTTTACTATTGTATGGGAAAACAAAGAGCCCCATGCCTCTTCTGCTCAAATTCTGTATTTTCTTTTTAGTTAGTCACTGAGATTCAGTGATTTGAGTTCATAAAGAAGGGTTGACAGAGCTTAGTCTTTGTGACTAATTTCTCTCTCTCTGGCATATGCCATAATCACTTCTTTCTTTTTTTTTTTTAAAACTTCTAGACAACACTTAATGCCCGAACAGACCAGGACCTTGCCATTCTTTGTGAGGTCCGTGACAGCAATAGACGGGCACATAAGATACAAGGAGAACTGAAGAACCTTAAGTCCAAATTGTTTGGTTTGGAAAATGAACTTAGACTCTGTTGATGTCTGCTTTGGGAAATGGCTCCGCCTGGAAGAGTGCTGCTTCCTGAAGCCTGAGGAAAAGGTCATCTTCTCCCCCTGAAATTGTGGAAGGACATAGTATTGACCAGAGTAGTAGTATCCATTATTATGAAAACACGAGGAAGAATCATGGACCCCCAAGAAAGGTTTCTTGCTCTCTAAGTCATCCTGTTAGCCTTTTGTTGTTGTTGTTGGATTATAACTTCATTTATTTAGGTATTTTCCCACATTAGTTATCTTGCTTATGCTGACAGTTTTGTGTTTGTTTGTTTTAAAGGAGATAATGACAATAAAAATTTAGAAAGTGTTTTTCCTATGCATCTGGCTGGGTGTCTGCAGGACCGTCCTTGAGGTTACTTTTCTCCAAGGCAGAGGGACAGGCAGCAAATTACGACTTGTCCAATTTGAATAGGCAGTGATTCTGCTGCTTAAAGTTACTCAGTTATTCAGCTGTAGGACCTGAAGTACCTTTTTGGGACACCCAAGCTCATGGAATTTCACCAGAGGACACTAGAGACCCTACTCTCAAGCATAATTTGTATCTAGAAATAAAGTAAAACCTGCGAAAGCCACAATTGATGTAAGGTGGAAACCTGCCAGAGAAGGAAAACTCAAATATCTTCCACTAAGACAAGCAACAGAAAAGTGGTAAGACTGTACCATGTCAAAGGTGGAAACCTTGGGAAACCCAGAAAAAACAAGGCAGCCATGTTGAGTTCCAGTTCTCACAGATTTCAACTATATAAAGGTGTCAAGAAGGAGTAAAACTTAATCCTTGTATGAAAAGTTCAGTGTTTACCAATAACATGGTTTTTTTTTTTTAAGTATATGTATAATTTATATATATTGAATTAACTTTTTCAGTAAAATGTGTAATTGGAAATCTTCTGTTTGCATTTTTTGTAACTTCTTGTTAAAACCACATTTATATTTTGTTGACAATTCATGTATCCTAGTTTACTTGTTTCATGGTCTGTACGGTTCTCAACAGGTATAATCTTTTTCCTAAATGATTCCCTTGAAATATCTGGTATATTTGTCCTTTATGTGTATCTCTGAATATTTGCTTTAGGCAAATTGTTGGGCATTTAAGGGCAAAATAATTGTGTGTGTACTGGACAGCCTCTGGAAAGTAAGTGGTCTTAGCTTAGTATAACATCATTCTGATTTACCTAGGATGAAAGAAACAACTCATGTTTTCATATTTATTTGTATTTATGTATTTATTTCATATTCGTATTTGTGTTTCCACTTTAAGAAAAGTAGTGACTGAACTACTGAACTAGGAAATGTTACCTTTTTTAAAAGGCCTATAGTAGCATATCAGTTTTATTCATTGATAAATATGGGTAGAAACTTCCAGAAAGATCAGTCCCAGGACTTAGGGGGATTTCCATTAGTGAATGCTTCTTCCTTTTGTCTTAACACTTAGAAAATTGGCTTTTCATGACTCTTGGGGTTTTTTTTTTTTTTGATGCTAGTAAAACAAAAAGGCTTATTAAATCATAGAATTTCAGAGTAAAGAACCTTAGAGATCATGTTTATATGGCCCATTTTGTATATGACTCAGACCCACCACCATTGACTGCAAAAATCAACTGATAATGTTTCTAACACCCTGACCTCAATTCCAATGACATCTTTGCAAATCATATTTTTAAGAAAATTTTATGACGTGTATATTATATATATATATATATATATATATATCTCTCCTCTGGTGGTGTAGTGCCTTTGACTGCTAACCAGAAGGCTGGAGGTTCAAACTGACCAGCCACTCTCCTCAGAGGAAGGTTGGGCAATCTACTTCCGTAGTGATACTGCCTTGGAAACCCAAGGAGGGGTCGCTATGAGTCGGATCCAACTGGACAGCAGTGAGTTTGGTTTGGTTTTATATATATATATAAAATCCTGCAACTCAACAATAAAAAGACAAATTTAAAAATGGGCACCTTAAAAATGGGCAAAGAATCTGAATAGCCACTTCAAAGAAGATAAACAAAAGACCAATAAGCACATGAAAAGATGTTCTACATCAGTTTTTTTTTTGTTGTTGTGTGCCGTAGAGTAGGACCTGACTCATAGAGACCCCTCCTAGGGAAATGCAAATCAAAACCTCAATGAGATACTACTTCATGTCCCTTAGGATGATTATAATAAAAAAGATAGACAATAACACATTCACAAGGATATAGAAAACAAAGCCTCATATGTTGCTGGTGGAATGTAAACTGGTACAATTGCTTTGGAAAACACTTTGGTAGTTACTCAGAAATTGAACATTTACCAAATGACCTAGAGATACCATTCCTAAGTGTACACCCAAGAGATTTGAAAACTTATGTTCCCATAAAAACTTGAATAGCATCATTCTTAATAGCCAAAAATGGAAACAACCTAAATGTGCATCAACTGATGGACAAACCACATGTGATATAATCATACAATGGAGTAGTATTCAGGCATGAAAAGGAATGAAGTACTGATACATGCTGCAACATAGATCATGTAACCAAATGCAATAGGGCCCAAAAGGCCGCATATTTTATTATTCAGTTTATGTAAAATTCCCAGAAGAGGCAGATCATAAAAACAAAGTAGATTTATGGTTGCCAGGGGTAGGGGGAAGGAAGGTGTGGAGAGTGATTGCTAATGCATACAGGGATTTTTTGGGGGGTGATAAAATGTTCTAAAATCACATAGTGGTAATGACTGTGCAACCTTGTGAATAAATTAAAACCCACTGAATCATACTTTAAAAGAGTGAATTTTATGGTATGTGAACTGTATCTCAAAAAAAGAAAAAAAGCCCATGAAATGGCTTACTGGGGTATCTAACGGGGCATTCAATTATAGTTAAATTTCTGTCTTTTTACTTCAATTGATTTCCTACCAATTTTCCACAATTGACAGATTCTAGGATGTGCTTACTACCATTCTTTCTTTCATCCAGCATTTATTTATTAAGTATGTGCTTTGAATGGATTAGAATTGTGCTAGATCTTAAGCTTACAGAGAATGTTAAAATAGTCTTTATGCTTCAAAGGCTGGTGGGGAAGATAGTTGTTCTGGTTACCTAGTGCTGCTTTGACAGGAGTATACCAAAAATGGGATGGTTTGAACAAACAGTTTATTCTCTTACAGTTTGGAGGCTTTAAGTCCAAGTTCAAAGTGCCAGGCTCTAGGGGGTGGGTGAAAGCCCCTCAGTCTTGAGCTTTAGCTCTGCCTCCCGCTCCCAGCCCACTGAAGCTAGAGGCTTTTCTTCACTCAGACAGCTGCTGGCTGCTGAGGCAGCCAAGCCCAAGGTTGACAGGTAAAAAGTCACGTCCCAATGTTACCAAACCACATGACGAGCCATTAATTTAAATCCATTGTAAGTCCCAAGGTCGGCAGAGCATGGCAGGCTGCTGAACAACGACACCACTACATGCAGGGTCCAAGCATGCCATAAGCTACAGACCATTCCCAAAGCTGTTTCTTATATATGGGAAGCAGACCACATACCCAAAGCAGCTACTCAACTGCTTGTGGTAGATCCCACCATGGAGTTGATTGCCAGTCTCATCATGGGGAATAACTACCACCAGCTGCCCAGCCACTCAACCAGGCCCAGCCAAGTTGACACACAAACATAACCACCACAATAGTCATGGAAAAAACTCAATTGGGCAATGAAGTGAAGTGCAGTGGGTGCACAGAATAGAAAGTAGCAGATAAAATAAATAATCTGAATCTTAAAAGGGAATTTGGAGTTAGATAAGAGGCCGGGCATTCTAGATACAGGAAACATGTGTGAGGACATGGAAGCATGAAATGTTTGGGGTGCTGCAAGTACAGGAGACAACATTACATGTGATATAGGACATAAGAAATGGTATGAAATTTCATTAAGTACAATTATGCAAATCTGTTGAAGACTATATCAAGACCTTTTGCATCAATTGAAAACTTTTGGATTTACCTAAAAAGGGCGAGGGGAAAAAACAATAACAAACTCTAATATATTTAGTGATGTCGATTCTAGCACAAAAAATCAGAATTTGAAATTGAAACTCACTTTCTTAAAAAAAATTAGGGGTGGGAGGAAGCATCATGTAATAATAAATACATAAAATGCTTATTTCCTAGGAAATCCTTGTTTTGTAGGTCAAGATCAGTCATCAATACCAGAATTATTGCAATATCTACAGAAACTAAATTAAAGATTGGTGCAAACATCTTTTGAAAAGGTCCACTAATGCCATCTACTTTGCCTTTTCTTTTTTAACTGTTGATATTCTGGTATATTTATTTTTGGTCCATGTGGTAGTTAAATTTGTGTGTCAGCTTGGCTAGGCCTGGTTGAGTGGCTGGACAGCTGGATGCAGTATTCCCCATGATGAGACTGGTGTGGTATATTCCTATCAGAGTGGCACTAGGTAACCAGAACAGTCCATTTTCAACACAGATATTTGTTCATTGCTGTATCTCCACCTCTTAGGATGGGTCTTACATGATAAGTGCCAGATAAGTACTTATTGAGGAAATGAATTAATACAGATGTTCACATGTATATTTTATAATCCCAGTGTTATTTGAATATAAGGAGCTCTGGTGGCATAATACTTAAGGTATTTGACTGCTAACCAGAAGGTGGCTGCTCAAACCCAGCAGCTGCTCCATGGAAGGAAGATGGGGCAATCTACTTCCATAAAGATTTACTGCCTCAGAAACTCAATGGGGGTCACTTTGGGTTAGAATCAACTCAAAGGCAGTGAGTTTGGAGTTTGGTTATGTTGTTGTTGTTTCTATGTGCCGTCGAGTCGGCCCCGACTCAAAGCGACCCCTCCTTGGGTTTCTGAGGCAGTATCACTACAGAAGTAGGATTGCCCAACCTTCCTTCCGAGGAGTGGCTGGTGGGTTTGGACCGCCAGCCTTCTGGTTAGCAGTCAAGTGCCTTAGGCACTATGCTACCAGAGCTCCTAAGAACTATCTATGTGGTATCAAATTTACAACTCAAAAGATTAGGTAGGAACCTTAGAGGGCAGTCAGTTTATGTTACTGTGGGAAGAACAACTCAGAAAAGGA